CTCTCTCTCTCTCTCTCTCTCTCTCTCTCTCTCTCTCTCTACCCCCGATGCGGGCAGTCCGTCGCCTCGCATCCACACAGAGTTGTCACCCCGCTTGGTCCGAGCATGCAAGCTAGGTTCGCCCGTGCACCACAGTCCGTCGCGTCCCCTCACGTCAACCCCGCATACCAGACACCCGCTCGTCGGATCGCCCAACTCTCGCACTCACTTACCTTCCAAACTTGCTCGTTAGCCGACCCTCACTAATCGCGCTAACCTCGAAATTCTTAGAGAGCAAACTAATCGCGCTTGCGAAATTTATAGCATGCATGCCTGCGCGAAAGGTACGGGATTAAGCCCAAGTGGACAAGAGGAGAAGAGAGGAAGTGCCTACGTCTACATGGCCAGGCCGCGGCGTGGGGGTCGTAGCCACACTCCACGCATTGATCCGGGCATGCAGGCGCTCCGGCCAATTAGAACAGAGTATGCGCGGCGAGGAAGAAGGAGAAGGCGGGTAAACACGAGGGAAACCAAGAAAGAAGAAAGATACAAAAAACGACAGTTACACAAGATTAAGGGTGCGATTCAGTCAGAGCCCAGTTCCCAGCGCAACAAGATGCGTGCAAGCGCGGCGCACAAAATTCAGAGTACCTAAATTCCTAGCTTAAATCCTAATTGCAACAGGAAATTTCGAAAAAGCAGAAAGGAAGAACAATTCCGCGAGCTCATAGGGGCTCGATATCCGTTGAAAATTCAAAAACGATATTCCCGCGCGATGATCGCGCAGTGCTCACAGCAGAACAAGAAAGAAGCTATGGTACAGTTGTTCCTCACGCTCGCCAAGGCGCGGCTGCCCAACCGTTGGCACGGGATTTTCCCGATGCCGATCTGACAACTCCCAGCAGAAAATGAAAAGAAACGAGGACGTCCATGCAATTTGCCCGCCCGACCCATCTTTTCGCAACTCACCCATACAACCCGCCTCATATCCCTAGGCAGCTTCGCGCAGAAAGTCGCGCGATTAAAGAAAATAGTTCATCAGATTGTACCTTCCTGGGAAAGTTTAGCACCAACCACATAGGGATCGCCCATTGGTCCCCCAACTGGCACAGAGCAGGGGAGGGCACCAGAGGGGCGGCACAACTACTGGCCCATGGAATAAGTTGTGCCCTCATGCTACCAGCTGACCCTGGCCGGTATCTCCCACCTGCTGAAGGCTTGAACTCCGGATGGCTGCTACGGGTTCCCCCATCGACGAAGCTGTGTCCTCATGCAACCAGCTGACCCTGGCCGGTATTGCCCACCTGCTGCAGGCTTTAACTCGGGGTGGCTGCTACGTGTTCCCTGTACTACTATAATGGGCCTCGCCACACCACTGTAGAAACCAAAACAAGTTCCAAGTGCATGTTCCCGAAGGGTCGGCAAGGTGCATCCCTCGCATCGTGCCACATCTGGCCACTTTCTGAGGAAAATGCACTCATACGGTCCCAAGTTTCAAATGCGGTTGAAACTCTTGACATGCAAAAAAGTCGCAAGGTGGAGCTTGCGGACTTTTTTTTTAATCTCGGTTGGCCCACTCACGGGACGAGATGCTCTCTTTTTTTTTTTTTTTTTTTGTAATCTCCGCCTGAGCTTCATGTTATTTTTCCGTTCTGAGTTGTGTTCGGGAGAATCCGTATACATGCGTACGGTTTTTTTCTTTCTTCTTTCCTTTCTCCCTCCTTTTCTCTTGTCTTTCTTCTTCCCTCCTTGTCTCATCTCCCTTCGTATGCATGGGTATGCTTCTCACGGATAGATGCTTGGTGTGGATCTGATTGTTTGGGTCCCCTTGTTTTTGCAAGTACTGCGCATGTTTGCTAGGTTTTGCTGCTCAATGATGACTGTTGTATCTACAGTAGGCATCTTGGTTGTGGCCCAGCCACGCGACGGGGCCGAGAGGGCTCCACTACTCTTGACATGGACAAAAGACAAAAGTCATGGCGCTGTATCTTTCCATGTTCTAGCGGAAGATTCACTCTCGTTTTGCACATTTCGAGAGTTGTGGAGGGAGGGGGGCTCCACTACTCTCCAAATGTGCAAAACGAGAGTGAATCTTCCACTCCACACTCTCGAAATGTGCAAAACGAGAGTGAATCTTCCACTAGAATATGGAAAGATGCATCGCCATGATTTTTGTCTTTTGTGCACGTCAAGAGTAGTGGAGGGAGGCCCCAAGGATGACACGCATAAATGGGGAAATTTGGGAAGGGAAAAAAAAAAAAGAGAAAAAAAAGAAAAGAAACTGCGTTGTTGTCAGAACGTGTATCCCCTAGGGCCTCTGCGTTGTTATCAGCCTGTGTATCCCGTGGGGCCCCTGTATCCCCGTTGCAAAAAAGAGAAAAATCATGGCGCTGTTATCTTTCCATGTTCTAGCAGAAGATTCACTCTCGTTTCACACATCAGAAGATACAGCGCCATGATCTTTTCTGTTTTTCTTCTTGTTTTTTCTTGTCTTTTTGGAAAACAGCCTGGCCCTCTGACGTGGATGACTAGACTGCAGTTACAAACTCTGCCCTGTGACTTTTCTGCAAGGAGGAGTTTGGCCTGCATTGTAAACTTCAGAGGGGATTGGACTCCAAAACAGCAGTTTGAAATGTATTTAGAAGCTCAAACCAAGACAGCACCCTAGTTTTCTCCACTTTTTTCCCTTTCTACTGTGGTGTGGACAGCTGCATGGTGCTTCAGCAAGGGTATGGACATCGACACCACCTGCGACACGTGTCCCATGCCACCCTTGAGGACTCACCTCATCTATGGTGGGAGTGTGTCATCGCTCCTGGCTTTTGGGATAAAGTTCGCACAATTTGGCTACAAACCTATGGCAGGGACACAAACGTATGGAACAAAGACTTCATCATTACTGGAAGGGACAATGCTGATTGTTTGGACCCAACATCTGAGAAAATTGCCCTCTTTTTTTTTTTTTTTTTTTTTTTAAACACGCCCCCGGTGATAGTGGTGGTGATAAGAGCAGCCACCACTACCACGCGGGGAGAGGCTCCATCTATTGGTGGGGAGCATCACCTGCTGGAAAGCGGGTCCAGCGTCCCATATACAAGATTTGATCAGAAAAAAAACACTACGGAGGACCCTTGCCAGCATCGATTACCGTGAAGTCCAGGGGATTGACTGAGCGAGGTAAAATTGCCCTCAAGATTTGCCTCAGAGGCTTTTGGTGCCTGTGGATGGCCCACAGAGACAGGAGATTCTATAGTGTTCGCCAGCAGGCTCAGGAATTGGGGGCAAAACTCCAACATTCCATACATACGGTGATAGCAGCAGAATGAAGAAGAAAACTTCATCTAAGCAAACAGCAGCTGAGCAGTTAAATCAGAGGTGACGGGCCCCCACCCCTTGGGCATCCGTCTCTGAGACCTTCAGACTTCAGTACTCCAAGTACTTTGGGATCCTCTACCACCTACTCTCTAAGACTTGCATTCGTAGATGTCTATGCTCACCCGGTGACCCCGAGGACCCGAACCCCTACACTCCCCCACAGTAACCTCTCTCTCCCTCCCACACTCTATCTCCTCCACCTACCTCCCCGAGGTCATGTCCTGCATGCATTCTGACACCCTGATGGCTGAGAGGACCCAGCGGAACCACTCTACATGTCTCTCACTCTGTCGGACTACACTATTAAACCCCTATCCCAGGTACCTGCTTTTTAATTCTATCTGCATCTACTTTCAGGTTTTGCTTCTTCAGCTCTTTTTTTTTTTTTTTCTTTTTTTTTTTAGCCACCAGTACCTCCGAGCCTATTTTTGACGTGGTACTGGCCAGTACCCGAACTTTTAGGAGGCCGGGACCGACATCGGCTGCCGTTGATAAATCTGATCGGCAGCCGTCGTTTCGTTTCGGCCTCCTGAAAGGTCGGAGGCCGAGTATTTTTGAACCGTCAAAGGTACTGGTGGATAAGAGCAGCCATTCCTAATCACCCAGTTGAGACTCCATTCTATTGGTGGGGAGTATCACCTGCTGAAAACC